CAAATTAGATCTGTCTGGAGTTCAGAATCTGGCAAACAGCAGCCTGCAAGGATGTATTTGGAAATAGTTCGTCGAATACCTTGAAACCGTGTCATGACGATGATTGATCAGTGAATGAATCAGCCAAGTATTGAACAAAATGACGGAATGAAGGCAAACCAGAAATATAACGGTCCTTATAATTAGGTAATAACCGATGCATTATATCCAACCTGTGGCAACTACCATATGTCGCTGTATTGCATCCATGGACCGGCAGTGTTTCAATGGCATGGAACCGCGTCCATGTCCTCTGGAGGTCGAGAAACAAAAGGGCGGTGTAACGTTGCCGTAAAATTCAATGCAAAGTCATGTTTCATGATCAATGCAAAAGTGTTGGTTTCATCCATCGATAGATGGCGCGTTGGCTACCAAAATAAACTACATCAAAACAGATCAGCGTTTGAAAATCAACTGATCCTACTCTGACACAATAAGCTTTGTGTTATAGCCAAAATTTTCAGAAGTTAAACCTGCAACAGTTCACGCAAACTGCAATGGGAACAGACCATGCTGCTGTTTATCTTACCCCTGAAATAGGCCAAAGAACTTGATAATGACCGAGCATCGAAAGGTCGACCATTATTCATTACTGAACCCGGATTTTATGAATAGCTGCTGCGAAATTATGTGAGTTTGGCATCGATGAGCGTATTATTCTGCCATTAGTGATATACGTTTTTTCATTGCCACTAGTTTGGTAAAATAAAACAATGGAAGGCAATCCTGTTATCGACAAGACTTTGTTCTTTTGTCCATACATTATAACGAATCCATTAACGGTCTGACCATGTAGCCTCTCTCCGATGCGTTAAGCTCACAGATGACACAGTCGCACAAGAATTATTAATGTCATCAGAGGACTGGCGCCCATGCGAATGTGATTCTGGTTTGTGTAATCTCCTTCTTGCACACGACCTCACACTCAGCATGTCTAAAATGCACTATTGAACTTTCGTTGTATGAGCGCTGAAAGTCAGTCAACAGGTCGGTATTTTGAATCATGTTTATAACACTGCATTGAAACAGTCTGTAACGTACGTTAAGTATATGGGAGTCACTGCGTGGACCGACCGTTCTTCATCATTATCAGCATCGTCATCATTATCATCATCGTGATCATCATCATCAGCATCATTACTATCGCCATAATCATCATCTTCCATGACTGCTTCTCCTTTAGGGTCGCCGAGGCAGACGCGTTGTGCCTCCAACGTTCCCGATGCTGTGTCAAAGTCTGAGCTTCTGCGGAAGATAACTGGAATCTGGAGGAGACTCCTTCCATACATTTGCATCAGGTTACGTTTCGTTTATTATGCTTTACAATAATTATACTGAAAAATCGAATTCACTAATTTTTCCTTTCAAGCAGCAGACAGATATGAAATATGTATTATAAGCTGGGAATGCATCACGCCTCACCGACCAACTGTGTTCTATCAACAAGAACGACTAAATATGATTATCACAACGAGAAGTATGTCTCCACCCTGAAATTCCTTTGTGAAGTTCATGAGGTTGTTCTTTTATTCGATGGCCGTACACTTTCAGTCTTATTGGAAACATTCCACAAAATTTTCTGGAACCATCGTTTACTCCTACTTTGAATGACAAGATTAAACTAGTCATGTCAGCAAACATGCAGGTTAACAGAGATATATAGAGAGTTAAAGATTCACATGGATTGTTCTGAAGATCGAGGTATTTGTTTGCCTCTGCCAATGTGTACGTATTATACATCTCAGGGTTAATAATTAATCAGCAAGTCAGTCGGTCAACCAGTGAGTCAACCGGTTCGATGATCACTTATCGATTTGGGTCAGGCAGAAGCAGAAACGTCAGATAGCGACTCCAACGTTTCGATTCGTGTCAGCGTTTAAACTCCGGTAGAACATAGCCCGAGTCAGCAGGAGGAGAGTACCTCGACAACTTGCTCAAAGTTATTCTTGGCCGTCCCCGGGATCTTCGGCTGGTTGGTTGAGAAATTAGCAGCTGTTCTGAGAGTATTCTCAAGACGTGTCTAAACCATCGCAGCTGTGACTTTTCATTCTGAAGAGTTGTAGAGAGGCAGTAGTTATAAAGCAAACTTTTGCCAGACATTTAGACTCTTGATCACATCGAGACAGGCGAGTCCAATGATTCGCTTTAGGAACTCATGTCAGCCGCTGGTGCATTGATAACCGTAGGTGAGGATGTCGATGAAGAATGATTGGAAAACTAGCTTACTAGCTATATATATACTTATAGTTATAGCTTACTCTTCAGACTCAACTATTTCAGCTAGTACACGCTGATCGCCGCTGCACATTCCAATACGTCCATTGATCTCCTCCTCCCATTTTCCATCAGAGATAAGCAAGACAAAGAGGTACATGAACTTCTCCATCGGCTAAAAGGTACGTATCTTAAAAGCGTCTGGAGGAGGTCAACTTGTTTGCAATGAACAGATGAGTAATCAGTCAAACTGATATAGAATCAGTCAAAGTGTGATCAGTTATGCGAGAAGTGAACCAGGGTGTATAGAATCTCAGGTTCGGACGGATAATCCGTCATATGAATAATCACCAATCGATATGGAATGTCAGATTTTTACGGTGAAATTATACTCTAGGAAATAGTTAATGCGAGTTGTTGCATAGCGGGTTTACTATGCCTAATTATGGTTCCTCGTAAACAGAATAATTACTGCTAGTAAAAACTTTACTCATTAAACGGCTCTCTTTATACGATCTTTGGTAGAACACAAGTTTCAGTCCCTAGATGTGCGATTCGATTTATGAATCGTTTCTTCTGAAAAAAAGTCACCGTTATGCATACTAGCTGTTACTTATGAGATGATGAGTACAGATTGGTTATTTTCAAGGAAAATATTCGAATGTGATTCAACTCAACTCGTCAACAGGTGTCTGTTTGTGTGTACGCGCTTCGTGAAATACTTGTTGCGTTTGCAGTGATGCAACCATTAGGAATTTTCCGGTAGCTTCATGCCTTAGGTTACATGGCGGGTTTGATGATTCTGCCTTGAGGCCATGTTGTGGAACGTCGTTGCGCCGTCGGCCGGCTCGTGACCACAACGCGAATGCGGAACAGTCGGTTTTTTGCGAAGGTGTGCTTTGTCTTGGCAGCACTCGAAACGTTTGCTCGTTCGCGACCAAGAGGTTGAAGAGGTTTCGCCGTCGTCGTCGCGGTTTTTCGTTAAAAGCGTTCCACCGAGTGACAGGCTGCCTGACTCATTGAGTCGTAAAGTGCAGCAGTATGCTTCTGCCGGCGAATGAACGATCGGCAGACAGACGCAGGTGCGTCCCGAGCAGTCGTCAGTCAGTCAGTCGTCTGTCGGTCAATCGGTCGGTCGAACCAGTTTGTCATCGCCACGCACCGAAGGAGAGGCAGACGCAGAGGGAGAGAGTTGACAGTAGAAGAGAGGCGGTCCTGCGATCCATCTGTGCCACACGTTTGGCCGTCGCACTGCACCTTTGACCTTTGACCATTGACCGTTGACCGTTGACCGTTGCTTGTCTTCTGCCGGCTATGGCGTTGTCCCGTTCGACGATCGGCACGAGTCTGCTGCAGCAGTTCGTCGGCAAACTGAAAGCCCGCGAGGCGACGCCCGACGAGATCCTGAAGGCAGAGCAGATCCTGCAAGGAGTTCGCTTCAGCGACTTCGAGGAACGCAGTTCAGCCAGGCTCATGTCCTTC